GGGTCGATAAAATGAGTACCAAGTTTGCTTGGGAACTAAAGACAGGGGGTCCTGCGACAAGCTAACCATTTGCCCAAGGCATATGCTGAAAAATAATGTAAATTTGTGAAAAGTTAGACAGTAAAACTGCTGAACATTAGCTTTAAAAAATTCTGAAAAATTTCCACATAATTTTTACAGATCTAGAAATTAATCTATTTAATCATTAACAGGTTAAGAAAGCAGATTTTGGGGCACTGCAGGCCATGACCCACTAGGGCTGTTGCGTCGCTGAGTTTAGTTTTTTAGTTTAGATTACTCAGAATTCAACTTAATGCCAGCATCTGCAAGGATCATACCATATTTGTTTCTTACCCAATCATAGAAGTTTAAACTACTCTGTGCTTATGTCATTTCGGCTTACAGAAATTATGTGCTTACAATATTAGGTTTTATTTTAGTGCTGCTTGAGCTGTTAAATGCTATTTTGTATCATTTCATTTTGGTTATTTTGAAGAGGCAAATAAAATTAAGAACTCTTAAAACATTAAATTAATTAATGGTAACTGCTTCTTAGCTACTTCCATTTCAACGTATGAAAAGTTTCATTCTACTTTTGCAAAATGGAGAAATCTTTAATGAAGACCTAGGAAATTAATTTCTGTTTCAAAGATTGTATTTTTTATTTAATTGAGAACTATTGTTTCTAGAGGGATTCTATTTCGTTTTCAATTTGAAAAATTTACCTCATATTGCATAGTCTCTTTAACAGCATAATAATGTGGTGGTAGAGTTTTGAGATTACAGCTCATAGTTCTGATGCAGCAAAATTTTACTGTTAACAAAATGTAAGCTGTTAATATTTTGGTTTTATTAGATATTCAGATTTTCTGTCCTTTCCTCTAATAATGAAATATTGGTATCAATCTAAGTAGAAATTAATTATCTTTTTTACATTATCTCTATTAAAACACTATTAAACATTAATTGCCAATATTTTTGCTTAAGAACATTTATAAAAGTTACTTATTTTTCAGATTTTATAAAATTAATGATTGTAAAATAATTATTACAGTTATTAAACAGTATGAAAATGACAAACTGTTACAGTATTTTTTGGTCACTGATTGCAAACAGATGATTTTACTGTTGTTGATTTGTTTTAAATTTCTCAACGTTGAAATCATAGAAATATTTAAGATAATTATATTCAATATGCGAAATAATTACTCAGTAATGATATTATTCCTTATTGACAGTCTTTAGGTGTAGATATATGAATGAACAATGTAGATCAATACAGCATGCGTGAGCTATATGTGAATGTTCCCAAAGGAGAAGTCGTGAAAAACTATGTAGAAATTTTGCATCTTGCATATGTCCCAGTGTGAATTATTTTTTTTCCTGTACTTCTTGACACTCCCTTAAATCTAATACTTATGCTTCAGTCATTTGCCTTATTTTGTGTTTAATTCATATTTTCTAATTTTATGAAATAAAAGTCATTCCAGATTGAAATGCAACAGTCACAGAATGTTATCGATGAAGTTCAGGAATCAGCAAGGAAATTGAGAGATTTAGTGCTGCGTATTAGGACAAAGCAGGCTAGTCATGCTGATGTAAATAAATTTGAAAGTGATGTCCAGAAGCTTGTAGCTAGGTGGGATAATGCAAGATCTCAAATAGTTGAAAGGTAAGCAATATGCATTTGTATCTTGTAAAAATTTCATATGAATGGATTCACCTTTAACCTGTAGTTAGGGGGGAGAGTGCAACTCGTATGGCCATCTTCTGCAAACCTTTAAATAAAATGATAGATTTGCAAAGGTTCTTCAAAAATTTCATTATTATAGAAATTAAATTTATTGTAAGATGGAATATGCTTAATATTTTCACTGAGACAGGCATAATATTGCCCATCCCTCAATATATGGAAAGGTCATTAGATAATCTTGGGCTTCTGGGACCGGCTGAATTTTGTTATAAAAGGGACTGTATTCAGTATAGGATTATATTAGCTTGATTATTATTGCTTATTTTCTCATCAGTGGTGAATTTTTGCGTCCTTCTTTCTAAGTAATTTCAAATAAACAAAATTAATTTGCTAAAAAATTATGTGTATGTATAGCAAATTTCCATAAATACATGCAGGTGCCACATCATGTAATATTGCTATTACTATTAATTTATTTAAACATTTAAAAATAATAAATAATATGCATTAATGAAAAATGCAGCAATGATATCCATGCAGTGTAAAAAATATTAATAGGAAAAATTTCATTATGTGAATATATAGCCATGTGTGTGCACAAGGTAGCATGTCTTTCTTCTTCATTCCTGTTTTTCAAAATCTTTTTAAATCCACTGTATATGTTAAGTTTTCTTAGGTGAACTGATTAAGGCAAAGCAGCTTGAAGGCTGTCTGCCTTCTACTGTATGGGATTTAACAACATATATTGTCAAGAAGTTTGACAATCTCCAGGCACTATCACATCTTTCACAAGCACTATCACGTTCTACAGATTTATTGCGTATGGGATATGGTCATATTTGTAACGCTGAATAAGAAATAGTGTGTGGGAAATTTATATTTACCGCATGTGTTATTAATTGAAAGTATATAATTTGTGTAATTTTAAATTGTGTTGTTAATATTTTTTAGAACTGTTTCTGTGCAACTGATTTTTAACTAAAGAAAATAAATTTTTCTGTTTTATTTACACCACATGTTATCTGTTCTTGAGTGGTTGTGTTTTTCCCTGCTCAATTTTCTCATTAACTATAAAATGTATGTATCTGTCATGTATATATGTGTGTGTGTATATGACAGATACATAGGTCCATGTTAGAGTCAATCTCATTTAAACATATGATTTAGTATTAAAACTATTAAAATGTACTAAGTCATTATGTATTTGTTTTCTGATACTTGAAATCATCAACATTCTGTCTCTGATCTTGAATGATACAAATGACAAATGTACTTGTATGTGATTTTTTACATTGTTTTAATTACTATTTCACATTGGTCATTGATTTTATATCATACTAATCATAATTAAGATCTGACAGCAAGATGGCATTACTTTAAAATTGACAAAACTTAAGAATGGTTTACTTTAAAACTGATAACAAATTAAACCTGCTGATTAGTGTTATATGCTAGTAAAAAACAAAGATTAATTTTCCACCATTAAGATGGATTTGTTTTCATTTTTATGAACGTTTTTAATTCCATGTTACATTTACAGACTTAGAAGTTGTGGTGCTTCTTCTGAATTGCTTCGTGCATACAAAACAAAAATGGAAAAGGATAGTGTATGGATTTCTGAAACAACAGTGAAAATGAATAGCATGAAAACTGTAAAAAAAATGACAACTAAGGAAATCGAAATGACAGTAGAACCTGCTATGGTAATTGCATTAAATAATTTTAACAAGTTTACCTTCAACTTTTTTCTGCATTAAAAAAAGGAACAATTGAATAAGCATTTTCTCTAAATTCTCTTGCAATATTTGTTTGTTTTTAATTTTATTATGAAGAATTCAAAAATGCTTGTATATGTAGCTTAATGTTTTACTTTGGATAATTTTTCTTTTTTGTTACATTTTATAAGTATGGAAGTTATAATTTTTAATAAATGCAATTTTAACTATTTGAAACATCAGTATTATCTTGAAAGCACTCTTTCTTGTTGAGGTGTATATTCTTTTTCACTAAAACTTTTGAATTTTTAGGATCTTTATTCATCAGTTGCTGAGAGGTGTTCATCTATAGAACAGACAAACATCTTAGGTGCAAGATACATTAGAGAAGCAAAGGTAAGATAGTAGTTATGCAGCAGTTATATGATTATACTTTTTTTAATTTTGACTTAATGCTTAAAAACAATGATTGGCCTTTTAAGTGATTGCATAGTGGAATATTTTCTATTTATTTCTGTATTATTCAACTTAATATATGTAGTAAAACTGTCTTGGTCCATTTTTCATTGTCTAATTGTCATGAAGGCAAATATTGAAGAATTGATATATAGATGAAGGGGGAAAAGTTTTATCCAAAGTTTTCTATTTTATATCTCCACTGACTATTAAATTTTGTAATTAACATGCTCAGTTTAAAGAAGGAAAAAAAGTGGATGCTGGCAGTTTTACGATATGTTAATTATTAATCTCAAAAATAATATAATTTGGAATTGTAATAATTTTTATTTAAAATATATAGTTTAAGGCATAATTAGATCAATGTGCAATTCAAAATTATGCTTTGTAACTGCTTGATGACTGTATATTTATTATGCATATATTACCTGCTTTTGCTTTGAAATCAAATCCTCTATATATGTAAATTTTGCATGAAACTAGAAGCAAATGTGCATATATCTTTTCGATCTTAAATAAAATATTTCAATGTTTTCTGCTGAGCAAGCAAAGCATGCCGTCTTTGTTTTTAGTTTTTAGAACTGTATTTTGATTAATGTGTATTTTTAATGCTTTCCTGAAATATCTTTCATGTTTTCATATGTTTGTAATCTAGACGTTTATAAAAAATTACTTGTTATAGTATTACTAGTACATTTTTGCTGCTTAAAATGTATTACTGGTCCTTTGTTTTCAAGTGATTCTAACATGCAGTAGCAATGGTGTTTCATGTACAAAATTGAGGTGTGGATGTCTGCTGACTTTATGCTTATTTCAAGGCTGCTTTGTTTAAATTCTGCTCTTTGTTTTGTTTGCCTGGTTAATTTCACATGTTGAAGGAAAAGCATGTGTGCCATGTTAGCTTGCCTCTTTTTTTTTTTTTTTTTTCTTCATATGTTAAAATTCTAGAATGTAAACCTTGCACCCATGCATCTGCTACTTGTAAGTGGATTTCTGCATGCTTCACTTCTTCTATTGGCCTTCCATTCGTCCGAACCATGCTGTTAATTGCTGTCTGGGCTACAGGTTAATTTGTCCCTTTAGATATATGACCTCAGACTGAAGCATTATAAAGAGAACTTAGAAGAGGAGCATCCAAGTCTGGATGCAAGCCTTCAAAAGAAAGCTGCAGTCTTTTCTGGAGCAGATACAGTAGCAACTGAATTAGAAAGAATAAATCAGGAGTACTCATCTCTACTACAACAAATTTTAAATTATCTGGATGAGCTGAAAAATGCTTTCTCTAAACATCAGAAATTGAAGGTAAGCTTTTCATATTTGTTTAGCTACCTGATCAGTTTTTCTTATTATAGCTATATATTAATGTACTTTCATAGATTCATTTATATGAATATTGTTTATAAATTTGATATTATTAGCATTTATAAAATAATCATGTATTTAACGTTAAATGAGAATATAAATGATCTTTGTAAACTCTGTATTAATGATTATATAGATTAATTTCTAGATCTGCAAAAATTATGTGGCTATTTTTCAGAATTTCTTAAAGCTAATGTTCAGCAGTTTTACTGTCTTTTCACAAATTTCCATTATTTGCACTTGGCTGATTCAGTTTCTTTCATTTCGTAGGCTTTTACTTGTTACTGCTGAGGCATTTTTTCAAGTGAAATGCATTTATGATTGCTTTTTATTTTACTCAGATTTTAAAGTAATGTTTTTCTAATAGGAATTACAAAAAGGTTTCACCAAAAGTGAGAAACATTGCTATATGCAAAGATAGGCATTTGTTAAAAAGTTTTATGAGATTTCTTTAAATTTCTTAGTTTTAAAATCTCCATGTAATTGCTCTTTTAATTTAATTTTAACTGTTATCTAATCTTTTTGCGTTTTTAGAGAAAATTAAGTAGACTTAACTATTTCTTTGTTAAGAAAGCAAAATTGTTGACTGAAAGTGCAATGCATTTTTTGACATTGAAATATTCAAAGTAATTCTCACCTAAAGTATCCTGATAGTAAAGTTGTACTTAATATGCCTTTTTTCCTCTAATTTTTACTGGCAAGGAATTAAAAAATATTATAAGTTCTTAAATTCATGCAATTTTTAATCGGCTATTATGTTTTGTCTTAAAATTATAGGCCCACTAGTGACTGAGTGGCAAAAGCGATTGCATTATATAAATACCACAAAATGGATCAAATGAATTTACCAAAATTTGTTCCCATGCTCCCTCATTGATCACTGAGATATATGACAAAGTTTGAAAAAATAATTCCCCCCCCTTTCTTTCTTTTTTTTTTTTTCGCCTGTGGAAACCAGTCTTTTGGCAGTGCAAACAGGAATGCCCTAAAATAGCATGTGTCCACTTTTTTTTTCCAGTCGAAAATTTTAGCTGTCTTATCTGACCAGAATGTAGCCTTAATGCTTTAAAAATATTTAATTCTTACAGTATTGTATTTGTTTCATAAAAGAATTTAATTATTTTGCATATTATTTTTATCCTTACCGGGATATTATATACAATTTTTTTTTATTGTGCCAGAGATTACTAAGTATTTCTGCCTGCCATCAGGGTTACTTTCTTAGGACTGTATCTAGGGGAAATGGAGTTTACATTACACAAAAGTATTACCATGCAGATCTTTTGCAGCTAAATTTGCTGTATGTACTGGAATGTAACCCCTGCTGAACAACCAGTACTTTGTGACTTTAACTACTCAGCTGTTAGCTGATTCTGTATCTCTCTTAAAAAAAAATTCCAAACCTGTATTGTGCAAAATTTTAAATAGCTTCTTGGAAATTAAATGAATAGCAGGGTATTAAAATCCTAAATAAAACAATGTTAAAACATATGCTAAAGTACATAGAAATTGCTTTAATGTAAGTGCTTTTGCAGACCATTCATAAGCGTTGTCCATTTTAATCTGAATAGATGACTTTCCTGTTTACCTCCTTTCAGGCTTGCTGCACTTTTGCGGTTTCACTGAAGATAGTTGTAATTTTTAGGATAGACATCCAGATATCTGGAAAATTGAAAACAGGTTTCTCTTACAACATGGCTTTCATTTCGATAGCTTCTCTGATTTAAGGCTTTTTATGTTAACCATTCAGCTACCAATGATCTCTATCAAGAAAAGTGCTTCCAAATCTGCATCTGAAATTCAATAAGAATATTTCTGCTTAGTGTATTTTCTGCATACTGTATACTTAATTTCTGCTTACATAGCATTAAAAATTTTAAGTAGAATAATGTTGTTATAGATGCTAAATTACGTAAAATTTACTTTCAAGTAAGAGCCTTCACAGAAAGTTCATTGCTTTGCCAGCTTTAATCTTCATCCCCTTTTAGAGTTGTTGCACTTTTTGTGGTTTCACTGAAAATCATAATTTTTAGGATATTTTGGAATGTCCAGATATTTTGGAAAATAGAAATTAACTCTTTTTTGCAACACGATTTTGATTGCAACAGCTTCTTTGATTAAAATCCACTTTTAAGCAAGGTTTTTATTGATTTTTTAAATTTTTTCCTATATTGTAAAGCAACTACCTTATGGAGAAAGGCTGAACTTATCAAAAAAATTCCTTCGTCAAAGATGCCTTAAAATCGGAGAAGATATTCAGATTATCACAAAAATTATGTTGCAAGGGGGAACTATGTGGATGGCCATCCTAAAATGTGCAGCAATCCAAAAAGGAAGTAAACATGAGAAGTTCATTCATTCTGATTATAACTGACGAAGCAGATGCTAGAACTGAAAAAACTTTCACGTCTGTGCAATGTCTGTATACAGTAGCATGTGTAGCGTTACTATATTTACCGTTAAATAGTTTCCTTATTAGAGAGAAGAAAGAATTAGGTGCTTTTATTTAGGAATTGCAAAATTCCTAAATAAAAGCACTCTTACTGCAGTATACTGTTAAAGGAAATACCGTGGTACTAATATTGCTTTATGTCATTGATAGTTTTTAGTAGGACATTCAATAGTCTCTTTAGATAATATATTTTATTTTGCCTTATTTTACTTTTGTTTTTTAGATCTGGTAGTGTTAAGTAATTTTCAAATAAAGTTTAAAATTTTGTTTTATGTGTATGGGTTTCATGGCATTAAAATTCCAGTTTGTATAACTTTACAACTGTTTGTTGATTTGTCTATATGCGTTTTGCATCAAAAAATGTTTTTTTATGTTTTTGTGTTAGCTTAAAATTCTTTAACTTGCTGTAATTTTTATATTTAAAGTTATTAAATGACTTAACAATATATATATATATATTATGTATATGTATGTAAAATATAAATAATGAAACAAAATTATTAAACTTAATTGGAATCAATTGGCAGTAGACTTTCAAATTAATTAAACACATCCCCACTTCAAAGATATGCTTCACACTGTTTTTCGTTACTGCGGCATGTTATGTCCCTCTGTCTCTATAGTATCAGCATTGCTGTGAACTTTTGCCCCATTACTGTTCAGGATTAACACAAAAGACTTTCCAGTTATAAATATGACTCTACCGTGTGTACTCATTGCTTTATCTCCCTGCTGCTGCTTGATTAAACCATGTCTCTCACTTAACCTTCTTTCTGTATTGTTTAGAATATAAACTGCATAAGCAGAAATTATGGGGCATGTTTAGCATCCCTTGGGGTTGTACCAGTTTAGGCAAAAATGTGTTTCTGAATAATTATTCCTGTGTAAAATAAAAATGATGTTTCATCCATCAAGCCAATTGTGATTTTTGCATTTGTTATCATCTAAGCGAGAGTCTTCTCGGCCATAATTAAAGATTTCCATTGAGAAAGAGATTGGTTTTGTCTTCCACAAAACCACAACATCACATACACACACACACGTGTGTGTGATGTTGTGGTTTTGTGGAAGACGGTATACATATATATATATATAAACCCACTCACACATTTACACTGTGCCTGTAAAAGTCCTTATGTAGCCTTTACTTTTGTTGCTGTTAAATGCAGACACTTACCGCCAGTTAAAAAGTTCTCTAAATAATGCAAATATTCTTATTTTGGCATTCATTTTTTTTTAAAATTATTTTTGTAAAAATTAAAAAATCTGACCATTTGTTTGGTCCCTGGATCCTGTAATTATATTTAGTTAAAGTGTATACTCATTATAAGAAATAAAAATGGTTTGACAGTTTCACTCCTGTGTAACAAAACTTCACTAAGATAGATGCATTCTTTTCTAGAATAATTTTGTTATTACGTTAAATTCATTAATGCAGTTTTTATATTTTGGGAAAGCAACAAGAATTATAATACTATGTGCAAAATGTATTAAAGAAATGTTTAAAAAATTGAGTTAAGTCAAATCTCATGATTGTTTATAAAAAGCTGCCCTACTTGTAGAATTCTCAGTTATGCCCTATTTATGCCTCATAAGCCCTAGCTGTGCATTATGATTTTTTAGTTGTTTTTATACTAAAGATTTTATTTGTATACTTTAAAATGTTTGTTGTCATTTTAAAATGTGCATTTTTTTATGCCTTTCAGTTTCTTAGTTCCATGTTTCTTATAGTTTATTTTCTTTTGTCTCTATTAGTGGCTCACTGTTATCTCCCAAGCATCTCCAGTAACCCTGAAGACCTATAGCTCACTTATTGACCAAGTATCTTCTGTGGAACCAATTACTACTAGTGAGAATGACACTAGTGCCTGTATTTTAACATCTCATCTACAAGAAAATGTACTAACTTCCAATGCAAAAATAAGTGCTAAAGGAAACTCAAAATTACATCAGAGCATTTTATATTCAGAAGAAACAAAGTTTTCTCCAGTTACACAGAGTAAGCTAGTACTGTCTAAAACATCGGATATGAAAAACAGCAGGACTAATGTTCAAAATGAGGAACTTATGTCTCAGAATATCTGTTCGGTTAAAGGCATATTCAATCCCAAAACTGGAAAAATGGCAACACTATATGAAGCAGTTGAACAAAATATTTTGAATTTTACAAATGCTGAATTTTCAGATCTTAGAACTGGTAGACGAATGTCTCTGCAAGAGGCTGTAGTGAAAGGATTTATAGATCAAGCTTTTTATGACAAGGTATCTACTAAATGTGGCATATATTTCCCTGGTACAAAAGAGGAATTGTCTTTGGTAGAAGCAGTACAAAAAGGTCTTTATGACATCCAAAAAGGTACTCTTTTAAATCCTCAAGATGGAAAGCCACTTACTTTGAATGAAGCTTTCCACAATGGAATTATAAAGAAATCAGGCATAAAAACTCTTATTAATATGAAACTTATAAAAACCACCAATCTTACTCTTTCTGAAGCTATTGAGCAAGAATTTTTAAATCCTAAAACTGGCATATTTCGAGAACCCTTAACTGGTCATACTATGCCATTCAAGATGGCTGTTGATCAGGGCTTCATTAATATATCTGCTTTTTCAGAACCAGAATGTGGAATTTCTCTTTCTGAAGCTGTAGATCGAAATATTATTCATGATCACTCTGGGCAAATATTAGATCAGGACTCTGGTGAAAAATATACTCTTGATGAAGCAATAACGAAAGGAATCCTTCGATCTGATATATGTGAAATAGTTGATGTTAAGAACAAAATAGCTGTGCCACTTAGCAGTGCATTAAACCAAGGAATAATACATGCACAAAGTGGAAAATTTATTAATACTGAGACATCAGAGCATTATACGATTAAAACAGCTAGAGAAAGAAATTTAATTTTAAAACCTTTTACTTTAAAGGAAGCATTAGAAAAAGGTTTTGCTGATGACAATAGCATTATTGATCCTATAATTGGCCAAAAATTAAGCATTTTGGAAGCACTATCTCGAGGGATTTTAGATGCTGAGTCAAAATGCGTTGTAGATTCACTTTCTAGTGAGCTTCTGTCTTTACCTGAAGCTTTACACAGAGGAACAATTTTACCTAGTGCAAAATACTTTGATTCTGAATCTGGTCGCGAATTACCACTATCATCTGCTTTAGATGAGGGATTTATAACATCTGTCAGTTGTAAAATGATTTTCGATATAGAGGGTATAAAAGATACAAAAGTAAATGAACTGATTAGTTTTAGTACATCTTTAGAAAGGAACATAATTGATTTAAAAAAGGAATTATTCCTAGATACTTCTTCTGAACAAAAAATTTCTTTGGAAGAAGCAGTTTCAAGAGGCTTTATTCAGCATCAAATATATGATATGCTTTGTAAACCTATTGGGATAAAAGATTGTGGAAAGGAATTGAATCTTATTGAATGTTGCAAAAAGGATTATATTGACCATAAAACTGGGCAGCTAAAAGATCCCAAAACAAAGAAGGCTTTGTATGTCAAAGAAGCCATCCAGAAAGGTGTAATAACACCTGAAGGAGCAGCATTATTGAAAGGATTATTAAATATTACTGTGACAATGGCGACAGTTACTAGAACTATAACTAAATTTGTTAGTGTTCCTAGTGATTCTGAATTGGTAAGTGGTGATGTAGTTGCCCAAAACATAATGAATGAAGTGTCAAATGTCTTGGAGAAGCATACAGAAGTTAGGAGCACTTCAAAAAGTGACAAAATTGATCATAAAATTTTACCTCAGATTCAGAAAAATCTGGAGCCTGTTAGTAATTCAAAAGCTGTTTTAAATTCCAGCCAGACATCCGAAAAACAATCTTTTCTTCCAATCAGAAAGAAGACAAAAGTGGAAGGTGTTGTTTCTTCTGTTAAAAATTCATTTTATGCAAAGTCTTTGCCTCAGAAATCATCTGCTCCAGGAAATGAAGTGCTAGACCCACAAAGGCAGTACTTTTCAACACTTAAAGATACAAAAGCATCTCAAGGAATTCCTGAAAAGATTCCAGTGATGTCCAAGAGTTCTTTAAAATCTAAATTCACCAAAGATGCATTAACAGAGGAATATTCAAAGGGTGGAGTTTTCGATGATCAAAAAGAAGTATTTGAAAGGCAATCAAGTCAAAGCATGCAAGTTCTGGAGTTGCCCCCAGATGGATGGTATTTAAAAGATGCTATTAGCCAGAAGCTATTTGACCCTCATACTGGTCTTTTTACTGTACCTGGAACTGATCGTTTAGTATCATTTGAAGAAACTGTCAAATTGAATATCATAAATCCAAAGTCAGCTTTAGTAGTAGTTCCCAATTCAAAGCAAACTGTTCCTTTAGATAGTGCTTTAGAAATGAAAATTTTAGACTCCACAGGCCATTATAATGCCAAAATGGGTTCCAATTTTTCAATGCAAAAGGCTATTGAAGAAGATGTTATAATTATGTCTGATTCAGCAGGTCAAGATAAAAGCAAATCTGCTTCAAGTTGTTTTACAGCCACTCAGTTTCCTGTATCACAGATATGCCCAGAAAATCTAGATACAGTAATTCAGGAACATATGGAACTACCAAGCATTAAAACTTCATATGAGACCATCAAATCATATAACATATCTGAAGATCATTCAGTTCAAAATGTGCATGGACTTGCAAAAACTCTTCACTCTCCTGAAAGAGAAGCCATAATTCTGCATAAAATTCCAAAGAAACTGCTTTCACCTAAAGATGCTGCATTGGAGGGATTTATTGATCAAGAGACTGCTAATATATTGTTAGAAGCTATTGCAAAAAAAGGCAATAAAGCTGGTTTAATGGAAATAAAAGGCTTTGAGGATAAACTGAATCATGGACATGTGACTGATTATCAAAAAGGGGAACTAATATCTGTAACAAAAGCACTGCAGGTGGGATTGATTGATAACAGAACAGGAAAACTGTTGATACCTGTAGGATGCTCTGTTAGTTTATCTGAAGCTCTTGATAATGGTTTGATACACAAAGTATCACAGAAGATTATCCATCCTGAAAGTGGTCAACAGCTTAGCATTGAAGAAGCAATAATGTGTGATATATTGAACCCATATTCATTTTACGCTGATCCTGTAGGTAAGGTTAGAGTAACTATTGCTGATGCCATTACAAAAGGACAGATTAACAGTAGAACTGGAGAAATTCTAACGGTTTCTGGAAACATTTCTATCTTAGAAGCTGTGCATAGAAAGTTGTTTCATTCAGTTAAATGCGCTTTCAAATCGCCTCCTTTGGTTGCACTAACATTTCCCACTGCACTGCAATATGGATACATTGATATTGATTCAAAAGAATATATTCTTCCTAGTAATCAGGAAAGAATATCGTTACAAAAAGCTTTTGATACTGGAAAACTTATGGTAATTCCTGTTCAGCCACAACGAGAATATTTTCTTTTAGATGATGCCTTAAATAAAAAACTGATTGATTCAAAAAAATTCACTTTTAAACATCCTGTTACAGGAGAAATAACTGATTTAAGAGAAGCAATGAGCAGTGGCCTTCTTGTAGCAAAATCTGTCAGATTAACTTTGACCCCATTTACAAGCTACCAAACTGAAAGTACTGTACAAACCACCAATAAATATTCTAATGACATAAATGTTAGTGAAGAGTTTTCTGAAGCTGAAAGGACTGATTATAGTGCTATGCCATTCAGTACTGCTGTTATGGAGAATGCATTAGATTTAGATTCTGGAACTTTTTATGATAAATTTTCAAAGCGTACTTATCCTATACCAGAAGCTATAAAACTGCAGATTCTTGTACCTCTAGAACAAGTGCAGGAAAATACACTGGAAGAGAAATATTCACTTTGTCAAGCATTGTACTCATTATATGATGAAAAGTCCAAGAAGTTCTTAGAACCAAATACTAAAAAACTGGTCTCATTCGAATATCTGGTTAAAAATAATTATATAGATTTAGAATCTCTAATTTATGATGCAAATAAGAAGTGCATTCTAACATTAAATGATGCTATCAAATTGAATATTATTGATATTCATAGTGGACACTATGTGCAGAAGGATGGGAAAAAATTAAATGCTATAGAAGCTACAAAACTGGGATTATTGGCATTCATAAGTGTTCCAAATCCAGATATTAAGTCTGTTATCATGGATGTAGCTTATGGAAGGTCTCAAATTTCACATCCAAGACCATCCTCATTGCCACTAGAAAAGAATGCTTTAGAAGTTAAATCTTTGTTGTCTTCCACAAAAATATCATCTGCTTCTAAGCAAGTTAATGGTAATTATCAAAGTGAAAACTTTAAAGCTCCTAGTACAAAGAAATATAAGGTTGATAGAAAGTCATCTCCTAGATCTGGTACTTGTTATGATTCTGATGAATATTATGTTGAAAATGTCTGTGAATCAGTTGTTATACCTTCAGGGCAAAAGGTTAAACCTGTTGACCAAACTGATAATTTGTATTCAAAGAAACAAACCTCTACTCTTGATAAATTTTCTGGTGAAAATTCACAGCCAATTTGTGTATCAACATCTGAGTCCCACTCCGAGACAAGAAGTGTCAAGTCTGAAAAAAGGCTTGGCTCTCCAACCAAAAGTGAATTTCTTCAAACTCCTTATTTAAAACATGGGGAATCTTCTAAACCAGTAGATGAGGGTGAAGATTCTTTCATAATGATTGGATCTGATTTTGAAACAGAGCCTATAAAAAATACTGATTATCTATCTAAAATTCATTCTCCTTCTAAAACAGAAAAATTTCAGGCAAAGTCATTGTCAGAAAAAACTAACTATTTATCTGTGACTTCTGAAATCTCGGAAAAGGCAGAGCCATACTATTCTGAAACTTATAAAACTGATGTAATGAATCAAAAAAGCTATGTTAGTGAGTCTGCATCATATAGCTCTATTGATCTAGTGCCGTCACAGAAATATTCATTACCATTAGAAACCAAAAACGATTCACCAGTTAAAACATCTGATTCTGTAACTGAAATATTTGAGCCAGAAGGTAAAGAATTAGCTTCTGCATGCAGACCTGAATCTCCCTCTAAACAGTATAAAATACCTGTAAAAAAAATCCTGTCTCCAACCAGCCATACAGTTTCTCCAGTTAGAGAGCCTGAGTCTCCAACTAAACAGCATAAGTCTGAAGTTAAACAATTTGTGTCATCTACTGAAAGGTCTGAATCTTATACCAGGGGACAAGAGTCTCCAGTGAAGTATCCCAAGTCTCCAACCAAACAGACAGAGTCTTCCATAAAGCAACCCAAATCTCCTACAAAACAACTCAAATCTCCAAAAAAGATTGAATCATCAGTAAAGGAGCCAGATACTCCAACTATCCAATCTGAGAGTATAATTTTACAGTCTGAAGTTTCACCAAAACAGTGTAAATCTCTGACCAAGCAACCTGAGCATTCAGCTAAATTGTCAGAGTCTTTTACTAAACAGTCAGAGCCTCAAACTAGTCTAACTAAGCAGCTTAAAGATGCAGTATTGCAAAAGGAGTTATCATCTAAAGAATCTGATTCTGTGATCAAATGGTTAGAATCTTCAAGTAAACAATCAGATTTTCAAACTCAGCAATCAGAGTCCCTTTCCAGGGAGTCTCACTCTCCAAGCAAAAGACCAGAATCTCCAGTCAAAGGGGCAGACTCTCCTGTGAAGCATGCAGAGTCTCCTTTCAAACAGCCAAAATCGCCAGTCAAACAGTTAGAGTTGCCAGCCAAGCAATCAGAGTCTCCAACTAAACAACCTGAGTTTCTAGCCAAACAGGCAGAGTCCGCATCCAAAACGCCAGAGTCTGCAAGCAAACAAGGAGAGTCTCTAACTAAGCTACCAGAATTTTCAACTAGGCAGGCAGAGTCTCCAGCCAAACAGCCAGAGTCTCTAAGCAAACAATCAGAGTCTCCAACCAAAAAACCAGAGTATCCAGCCAAGCAACCAGAGTCTGTAACCAAACCACCAGAACCTCAAACCAAAAGACCAGAATCTCCAGCCAAGCAAGCACAGTTTCCAACCAGAAGATCAGTGTCTCCAAACAAACAGCCAGAGTCTCCATCTAGAAAGTCAGTGCCTCCAACCAAACAGCCAGAGTCTCCATCTAGAAGGTCAGTATCTCCCACCAAACAGCCAGAGTCTCCAACTAGAAGGTCAGTATCTCCAACCAAGCAGCCAGAGTCTCAACCTAGAAGATCAGTGTCTCCAACCAAACAGCCAGAGTCTCCAACTAGAAGGTCAGTGTCTCCAACCAAACAGCCAGAGTCTCCTTCCAGACAGCCAGAATCTCCAACTAAACAAGCAGAGTCTCCAACTAGATGGTCAGAATCACCGGCAAAGCATCTGGGGTCAACTACCAAGCATCCAGAATCTTCTATCAAACTGCCAGAATCTCCTGTTAAACAACAGGAATTCCCAACCAGAAGGGCTGGATCACCAACTAAGAGAGCAGAATCTCCAATCAGAATGCCAGACTCACCAACTAAAATACCAGAATCACCACCTAAAAGGCCAGAATCCTTAATCAAAAAACCAGAATCCCCACCTAAAAGACCAGAATCCTTAATGAAAAGACCAGAATCCCCAACTAAAAGACCAGAATTGCCAATTAGAAAAGCAGAATCCTCAGCCAAGCAACCAGAATCTCCAGTCAAAAGACCAGAGCCATCATCCAAATGGGAAGAACCCTTGATCAAACCATTTGAGATTTGCAACAAACAGTCTGATTCTTTTAACCAAAAGTCTGAGTTTTCTATGAAGTTATCGCAGTCTTTCATCAGAAAATCTGAAATTTCTGATAAAAAACCGGAAATATCCAATAAGGAAGCTGAGCAAAATGCTCTACTTTCTCATTTAAAAAGTGGTGGTTTTGTTTCAAATAAAGATTTTATTTCTGAAAATTCTGATGTGGCTTCCACAGAAACTTTTACTTACACAATCAAAAGTATGAAAATGGATGAAAAATCGACTAATGAAGATGAAATATTTGGTAGCAAATTAGTAGCTGAGACTGTACCTTCAGAATCATTTCTAAGGGAATCACTAGCAGATGAAAGTAAAGGGAGCTCTCTCTTCAAGGAATTATTATCCCCCAGTGAAATCCATAGAAGTGAAAGAGAAGTGTTACTTACTTCTGAAATTAAAATGCCTGAAGATCAATTATTTGCTCAAAAATTAACAAAGATAGATAGGAAAACTTTTCCTTGTAATACATCTAAAATTTCCACAAAATTTGTTACTGAAAATACTGACACATGTATTCAGGAAACTTTGCCTTTAGTAGAAGATAAAGCTGTTATAACAACATCATTGTCTGAACCCAAAATATCGTCATTAATTCTGACAGAATCTTGTGTCAAAGAAACAAAATCTGAAAGTAAAGAAGCAAAGACAAGTGACGGTGAAACTAAAGCATCAATCTTGGCACCTAAATCTCCTGTAAAAAGTACAAAAAGTACTAAATCACTTATGAATGATGTGAAGTCTCCTGTTCAAGAATGCGAGCTTGTTGATAAGGAAAATAAATCTTCTGAATGGAAGGCCGAATCTCCTGTAAGAGATTCTAAGTTACCCATTGAAGAAGGGAAGTCTCCTTTAAAAGATGGAAAGTTGCCAATTCAAGAACATGCATCTTCTGTAACAGATATAAAATTATCTCTGAAAGAATGTAAATCCATCTGGAAAGAAACATCTCCGGAAAGGGCAGTCAAGTCTGCTGTCAGAGAAATTGAATCTTCTGTAAGCAATAATAAGTCACCTATTTCAGAAGCTAAATATCCTGGTAGAGAATCCAAATCTCCTCTAAAGGAAGATAAGCCTCTTGTCAGAGAATTCAAGTCTCCTATAAGACAAGATAAGCAGCCTGTAAGAGAAGAAAAGTCTCCTATCAGAGAAGCCAATTCTTCAGTAAGTGAAGATAAGTCTTCTGTCAAAGAATCCAAGTCTTTTGTAAAAGAAACTAAGTCTCCTGTTAGAGAATCTAAGTCTACTGTCAGAGAATCTAAATCTCCTGTAAAAGAAACCAAATCCCCTGTAAGAGAAAATAAGTCTCCTGCCAGAGAACCCAAGTCTCCTGTAAAAGAAACCAAATCTCCTGTAAAAGAAACCAAATCCCCTGTAAGAGAAGATAAGTCTCCTGCCAGAGAACCCAAGTCTCCTGTAAAAGAAACCAAATCCCCTGTAAGAGAAGATAAGTCTCCTATCAGGGAAACCAAGTCTCCTGTAAGAGAAGATGAGTCTCTTGTCAGGGAATCTAAGTCTCCTGTAAGAGAAGGTAAGTCTCCTGTAAAAGAAACCAAATCCCCTAAAAGAGAAGATAAGTCTCCTGTCAAAGAATGTAAGTCTCCTATGAGAGAATCTAAGTCTGCTGTAAGGGAACCTAATCTTCCTGTTAAAGAATGCAAGTCCCCTGTAAAAGAAACCAAATTTCCTGTAAAGGAATCCAAGTCTCCTGTAAGTGAAGTTTCATACCCTGGAGAGGAAATTAAGTTTTCTACAAGAGAAGCTAAATCTCCTGTTAGAGAGCTCAAGTCTGTAAAGGAAGCTGAATCTGAACCACATGGAAGAGAAATGAAGTCTGCTGTAGAAGAGGCTAGTCCTGTCACAAAGTCCAAATCTCCTGTAAGAGAAGCCAGATCTCCTGTCAGAGAGTCCAAATCTCCTGTAAGGGAAGTTAAATCTCCTGCTAAGGAACTTAGATCTCCTGTAAAAAAGCACAAGTCTCCTGTAAGAAAAGCTGAATCTCCTATCAGAGAATCTAAGTCTCCTCAGAGGGACTCTGCCACTGAAACCAAATCTTCTGGTACAGAACCCAAGTCTTCTATTAGGGAAAGTAAATCTCCTGTCAGAGAACCAAAGTCTCCTATAAGGGAAAATAAATCTTTTGTCAGAGATTCCAAATTCCCTGTAAGGGAACCTAAATCCCCAGTCAAACAATCTAGGTCTCCTACAAGAGAACAAAAATCTCCTTTGAGAGATTCTAAAACATCTATTCAAGAAGCTAAATCTGACATTGAACCTATTTCTCCAATGCAGGACGCTAAATCTCCTCTAGAAATGAGTACCAGATCTCCAGAAAGAGAAGTCAAATCTCCCAATAAAGAAATAAAAAATCAACTTGTAGGAGAAGGCAGTTTCTATGATACAGATACCAAATCACTCATGAAGGAAACTGAATTAAGTACTGCTTTCTCTCCTAATGAAATGAAGGGACTTGACTGGAAAAGCTCAGAAGGCACAGAAATGGAAGTTTGTGTATCAGAAACAAAGTCATCAGTCAGGAAAACATTATCACTTTCTTCTGAAATGAAATCTAATGACACAGAAACTGGATTGAATAGTGAAAGAATATCACCAGTAACTGAAGAGAAGTCTAGATCTTTGTCAGTGGACGAGATGTTAATGTTTCAAGAAAATGAGTCATCCTCTGTGGATATTAAGAAGCCTGACAAAGAAATAAGAACTGCTTTTCAAAGAAAGACAGTAGTTAAAGAAACAGAGTTACCTAGGAGAGAAAATAAGTCACCTGTCAAGGAATATAAATCACGTGTAAGAGATACCAAGTCACCAGTAAAGGAACCCAAATCATCCATAAGAGATACCAAGTCACCAATGAAGGAACCCAAATCACCCATAAGAGATACCAAGGCACCTGTGAAAGAATCCACATCACCAGTAAAGGAATCCAAATCGCCTGTTAAGGATTCCAAATTACCTGTGAAGGAAACTATTTCATCTGTTAAAAGTATATCACCAACTCGTGAAACTAAAATAGTTAAAAGTGAAATGAAAGCAAACGTTATTGATAATTCTACGCAGAATAACATTGAAGACTTAAACAAAGGGAAAGAGGGTGATTTATCTTCAACAGTGTCTCAGTTACTCCTTTCTCCAACCTTAAGAGAACCATCAGAAACACAGGAAAACTATAGCATATCTCGAACTGCTGTTACTGTTAAGGAAAGTTATACTGAAGTTACCAAGCAGTTTCAGATATCAAGCATCCCACCTCAAATCTGTGTTGCAGATGCAGTTGCATCTGGAATTATTCAGCCTAATTCTTGTCATATTTTGACTGAGAGAGGTAAGGTGCTCTTGCAGAAAGCACTTGATGAAAATTTCATTCTCTCTGATACTAAGGTGGAGATCCTTAATAGTAATGAAGTTGTTTTACCTGATGAGAAATCACCTAAATTACCCTTGGAAATGAGTGCTGTAAGTAATTCTTTTTTTAAATTTCATATCAAAATTAACTGCTCTTTTAAAAAATAAGAATAGGAATAAAAATTGTTGGTGTGTTAATTATGCATTAAAATACTAATACCTACTTGTCAAGCTGTGGCAAACATTTTACATATTTTATAGAGCTAATGTATTTAGTCTCTTTGTTAACACTCATAGGCAAATAGAATTAAATGTTTTACATAAATATCAAAACTGGATGAAAAACATGGATCATTTCTGCTCTGTTTGAATCGAGATTTTAAAAACTTAGGAATGCAGCATTTATTCAGCTTTTCTGAAATATGAAAAATGAATCTGCACTTAGTGTATCTGCACTGTATCCATATCTTGTAGAGTAGAGGTCTCCAAATTAGGATCATAGTCCATTGTAGAAGTGCCTAAAATTATTGAAAGCCATAAAACTATAGTAAAGTTTTATATTTGTATGAATAATTGGACAGCTAATGTTCTTGTTCAGATAAGTAATCTGTATTTTACAGTTTACACTAAACATGCATAATAAAACACCTACTTCTCTGAAAAAAATTCTCATATATATATTTTCTGGCTCTCTTGCTCTTCCCATCCACACACAGTGACATCCTTTCTCTTTAAAAAAAAAAAAAAAAAATCGAAGAATTGCTATAATATGGGATCAGCACACAAATTTTGATACATAAAATTTGATCATTTGAGAAGTACAATTTGGCATTCTCTGACTGTTCGGCTAAAAATACCATATTTCTGAACTAAATACAATGGTTCCTTTTTCAACAGCCAGCAAATGCCACTGTCCCATTAAAATTCCTTATGAGAAAAAAATCGCACCCAATGCAACAAAAACAAACACTAATGACCATTGAATATGAAGGTGAAAATTGCAACTCATTTGCTGCAAGCCACATAGGTACAGTTTGGGGATGTCATGAATTGCCTATTTTGGCAATATAACATGTTTCTTTCGTAAATACGTTTCAGCAAGGGTTCAGATAATCAGAAAGTGACCATTAAACACTGGGTGGCCATGATTAAACTGACAGTGCTTACAGTGTTCTGCAGTGCGATCTATTTGCGAGAATGATGCCACATTTTGTAGGAAGATTAAACAAGACGGGGGACGAAGGATTCCGTGAAAAAAAAAATTAGTTCCAAAAGTCACTGCTAGGGGAATATTTACACTGTGTAATAGAAAATAGAGTGTTAACAAATGCAAATTAATACGGAATAAAATTACCTTTTATTATGGATATGCCTTGTGGAATATGGATATGCCTTACAGTACGGTATGGAAAATCTTACGAAAAGATTATCAACTTCTATCCGTACAAGATCAGCTGTGTACAGGAGTTACTGTACCCCGACCATGATAAGCGATTGACTTTTGCTCTCACCTTTCTTGCCAGAATGGAGGTGGATGATGCTTGGCCGTGATGGATGATCTTATGGGGAGACGAGGCTCACTTTTACCTGAACGGAACTGTGAATACCCAGAACTGCCGAACTTGGGATGACAAATCACCACATGCAGTTACAGCAATTCCCTTACATTCACCAAAGGTAACTGTTTGGTGTGGGTTCACAGCGGAATTTATCGTAGGTCCATTCTTCTATGAGAACATTACCCCGACAGGACCGGAAACCTGTTCTGTTACCGGAGAGAAATATCGCCACATGTTGAACAGCTTTGTCATTCGGGCACTTCAGCAAAGACAATGCCTGGGGGAAATCATTTTCATGCAAGATGGAGCCCCTTCACACGTTGCTGTACGGGTGCAACAGATGCTACAACAGAAAGTGTCATTACCCGCTACTTTCCAACTGCATGGCCATCTCGGTCGCCTGATCTTACCCCATGTGACTTCTGGCTATGGGGTTACCTTAAGTCCAAGGTCTATCAAGGAGTGGTCCAGGACCCGGCTATGTTGAAGGATAACATATCACAGGTTGTACGGGAGATTCCTGCAGACATGTTACTTTCTGCTGTTGTGCATACTGTGCACAGAATGCAATATGTAGTCCACAACAACGGCAGCCACATTGAACCTCATTTGAATGCAAAATACTAGGTGATTTCCCTACTGATTTGCATTTGTTAACACTCTATTTTCTATTACACAGCGCCTAGCGGATTCCCCTAGCGGTGACTTTTGGAACTAATTTTTTTTTTTCGCGGAATCTTTCGTCTTGTTTAATCTTCCTACAAAATGTCGCGTCATTCTCGCAAATAGATCGCACTACAGAACACTGTGAGCACTGTCAGTTTAATTATGGCCACCCTTATTGCAAGAACATCACGATTTTGATTGCATACATTTTTAGTAAAACAAGGGGTTTGCAAAAGCAAAGTGATAGGGGAAGTGTAAAATTTCATCTGATCATCAGAGATCACAAATTTTAAAAAATTAAAAAAGAGACAGAGATCATGAAACTTTCAAAGCTAATTAATTGTATAATTTAGCCAAATCTAACAAGTTAAATTTAAATAAATAAAGCCAAAAACATTGAAAAAAGTAGTACTTAAGCTATCTCTGACGAAAGCAAACAAAATGAAAGTGCTTATATAATTAATTATGAAAGAAGAAATAACAGGAGACTTTTCAAATAGTCCTCAATAGAGATTTTTAGAAATTTCTCAAATGAAATAATTGAAAGCATCAAAAGTACGTACTTCGCTGAAGCAAGTAAATTAGTATTTATCATTTTTGTTGTCATTTTGAAGATGGTATTTCTTCCTTCTGATTAGAAAGTGTTTGTAAATAAAAGGATTATTTTACATTTTATTTAGGATTTAAATTAACCGTGGAACTCCTGAAACAGGGAAAAGAGCTATATTTTGATTTATTTTGTATAAGCAATGATGTTTTTTCTCACACTGCATAATCATATTTCAGAATTAAAGTTATGCATTTTTATAACAAAACATACCATGTGTAGATTTCCCTACTTGCATCTAAACTACTTTTAAGCGAGCAACGCAAGTTATATGCAAATTTGAAAGAGAGGATGATTTTTGAAAGCAAATTTTATCAGCATTGCTGTGTTCTACAAAGCATGAATATAAGGATAAATGCAAATTTATTTATTTAAATGTAATTTGTCTTTGTTTTGTGGGATGGTGTTGATATGAAATTCCAAGTGAGTGTAATATAAAACTCAGATATAGCATTGCTACTAATCGTATTAACCATTTGTTTTAATCCAGATCTTATCCAAAGTAGTTTTGGTATATGTAGGTATGTATGAATGAAGAACAGATTAAGAAAACAGTTGTTAAAAATTTTAGACATCCTTAGGATTGTTTGGTGTAATTTCACACGTACATATACATGCATCACACGTACATATACATTAATAATTTTTATCTTATTTAGTTGGCATATGTAATTATCTGTCTATAAATGCCTCTGTTGTACTTCTGCATTCAAGTTGATAACTGTAAAATTTTATGTTTAAAAGACTAATATACACGAAAAGCTAAATGTGTTAAAGTTGAATTCTATTTTTGATGCTGGTCGTTTTCTGTTATCTTTTTCTTTTATTTTTAGTGTTTGTTTCCTCTATGGCCTTCATTTATAATTTTTTTAAATACATGAAATGACTATGCATCAATCGAAGAATGATAAAAAATCTAATATCCTTTAACATAACAAAATAAAATAAAAGTGTATGTAATTGTAAATTCATTTATTGCTTGCAAATGAAACTGGAAGCATATTTTACTCATTTTCAATTACTGCTGTATAAAATATTGAAACTGCATTAAAATGTATCCATTTTGTACCTCAAGTGTCTAAAGATGTGTGTACTCTTGTAGATTTAAGCTCAGTTTGTACATTTTCTGTTCCATTATTGCAAATATGTTTTGGTATTTATGTGTTAGCATTCTCCAATACACTGTTGTAGATGTACTGTCCTGAATGCATTGCAACAGCCTTAAAATCTTAACACACAACTCTGTTTTTATGTAAGTGTTGCAACAATCCTAGAATTTGTTGTGAGTGGTATTGTTGGTGGTGTATTGCCAGGTGCCAGCTAATATCTGAGTACTTAATTTTTTTTTTTTTTCAAATGTAGTGTATTGTACATAAGGGAAAAGAGAGCAGTATTTTTTTATCTCCCCATTCAATTGTTTATGTTCCCTGTTTTACAGAATATTGGCATTTTTATCCTTTTTATTAGCCTAATAGAACAATTTGCAAAATATCTGGCTGGAATGTGTAACTATTATCTTCTTTTATGAAACAAAAATTTAAAATGGCAATAACTAGAAATATATATTTGAGTATAGACTTAAAATACGTTTTCATGACATGTTATTTTACCGATATTTTTAAAAAACATTCGAGAGCAAATTTGAATGTAGAAAACACAAAAATTAAAATTTCTATAATCTAAAAGTAATTGAGTCATATACGCAACATATATATGGATCCAATTGTTCACATTTCATTCATACAATTGTTTTCATTCTGAACTTGAGAAATGATGTTATTAAGTCAAACATAAACTTATACAGTCAAAAGTCGTTAATTCGGACACCCATAATTCGGAATGATCTATAATCCGGACATCAAAACTAAAAACTTTCTGCGCATGCGCCGCGTTGACACATGCGCATAGGCGTTTACGCGTGCGCGTAAGACCTTTTACGACTGCGCATATGAGTGTGCGCAAGTGCAGAATACATTTTCGCGTGCGCGTTTTATGTATAATGGATGTATAAGCTAAAATTATCTAATTATCTATTTCAGTTAATGTTGATGATTGCGTTGTTCCTTAATTTTCGAATTGGATCCGGCTTATTATTTTTTGCAGACTGTAAGAGCAATTTTATAAAAGTAAGCTTTCGATTATATCAAATAGAATTTCCGATATATATTTGTTAATATGTAAAGGATCTAAAGCAAAAGTATGTTTTGAAATCCGAAACCTGTTTATCAATTTCACGCTGCTCAGCGGGGGGATCGCCGCAGCGGCGGACGCGTAATGAA